GGGTACACCCTGGACAGGCCACAAGTCCATCACAGGGCCACACATAGAGACAAACGAGACACAACCATTCACTCTCATTTAGAGTTATCAATTAACCTAACAGTCATGTTTTTGGTCTGTGGGAGGAAGCCGGAGTACCCGGAGAGAACCCACGCATGCACGGAGAGAACATGCAAACTCTACCCAGAAAGGTCCCCGGACTGGGATTTGAACCGGTGACCTTCTTGCTGAGAGGCATCAGCTCTACCAACTGAGCCACCGTGCCGCCCGCACACACACACACTTGAAATATTAATTTTATTATTTTAAATATCTAAGACTCAGTTCTGATTGATAAATATATGTATGAATATCCAGCTGGTCAGAACTCATTGATTTGTATGAGAAAACACATGTGAAATGCAAAACATTTATTTTAAGTCACTGTTAGTCATTTAAAATTAGCTCTTTACTTAAAATTTCCATAACTATAAAATTCACAATTTCCTCAGCTTTATTTTGAACCATAGTTTGTAAAAATCGAGCAAGAAATAAGGAAATTATAAGAGTTTTTCACCAGGAAGACACCTCACAGTCCATTGACCTCCATTCATTTTGTTGAGGCTCCTCAATGCATAACAGAGCTCCAGTGTGTGCACATCAATGTAGCTAGCAACGTGCTAGCCACGCCCAATCCAGTAATATATATCGATGAGTACAGTAGTGTATATAATTCAGCAGAACTGAAATGTAAAAAAAATTAGAAGAAAGAGTTCCTACTTGTTTTCAGATAATTCTGTTTTCTCTCCTCCCAGGCTGGTAGGGAGACCAGGGAGGTACCTGTACGTGTTTGAGTCTTACAGGATGGAGGAGGTAAGCTTTACTTACGACTGTAAACAAAAACCCTTTGGTATCATTACAGTACAGTTAATACTACTCAGGTTAAAACTCTTCAGCTCAGTAAGGTTGATGTTCATGAGTTAAACCTGTAACGTGTCAGTGTTTAAACAGGAACCTATCTGAAGACCCTACTGTATTGTTTTTTTATACTTTCTAATCTGGAAAACATTTTAAACTGGTATTGTTTTGCTTGTAGTAGTATCTCACTGGGCAGTGACTAATAGAGACTTGTTGGTCATTTCAAATTGCATAAAAATAGGTAAGTTTCTATGTTTGCTTGTATTGAAGTGAAAAGGAAGACATGCTGCAGTTTAAGCTGGTAACTGTAGAAAGTCAAAGCCTATTCTTGTGTATACAGCTGGTCTTGGCCCATTACATACATGCATGTGCCTCCATGTTTATAATTACATCGACCACAATCATAAACTAGAAGTACTTTTTTATTTTATCAGGGTGGTTTTATACTGCAACATTGGAGGCTGTAGGCTTGAATATTTCTTTCCATGAGTTGTGCTTCTGTGAAGGTGTCAGCCAGGGGCGGGCCGGGCATTTGATACCGTCCCAGGCCACCACTACCTGATTAACACAAACCACCAAGACTCAGCATGTATTCAGTGTGTGCTCAGTTTAACTGTCTGCACTAATCAACAACTGAATACCAAATGTTTCTGTTATGATGCAATAATAGTCAAACCATATTAACTGAGGTTATGTTCACCTTCATTCAACCATGTAGTGTATCAACCATTTCAACTTACTAAGAATACATTATGACTATAAACCATAGTTTCATACAGAGACACACAGGTGGAGCACGGCAGGTCTGTTTATCCTCTAACAGGGGCATCAGAAGTCTTGTAATGTGTGTAAAGGACACACTAGAGGGGGGTCTGACCCCCCCCCCCCCAAAAAAAAAARWGTGAATAAAGTAGAGGTTATTTCCTGATTTCTAGTGTATTTTAACAGGCTGTTAAAGATCCACATAAATAAACACCTGATTTAATGATTGGAGACAGATTCATTAATCTAGTTTCATCGTCCTGTTTTTAAACTCACAACTATGACTCAAATAATTAAATTAATGTGACAATTTATCCCAAATATGCTTAGAGGAGGTTTTTAACATTTATTTTGTTTATTATTAATTTAATCTTATTTATAACACAACATATTGTGCCAAACAATGATGATACACAACTGCATGTTTCAAACTGAAAGCATTAATAACTTTACCCAGTGAGCAGGTGTAATTATGAGGACCACCTATAGTGAATTTAAGGGGGCATTTGACTTTTTTCTGATTTGATGACAGGTCCACTCATAAACTGACGTCATGCAGCTTTCTTCACAACATAAAATAACAGTGTGCCAAACAATGGTGATGTAAAAATTATGTTTCAGTTTCATCAACCTGCATGTAAATTAGGAACAGTTGATACATGGATGTTTGGAACTGATTAGAAAGCTAATGATGGATGATTGACAGATTTATTTACTGTATTGACTTTTTATTTAACCAGGAAAATCCCAATTATGAAAACTAATTTATATCATACTACAGTATAAATGAAAGTTAAATTTAAATAAGCACTTAGTAAATCACTTTTACACTGGGCAAAATAAAATAATGTTAATATTGCTGTATCATGTCTTTAGATCAGTAATTCCTTTCATTAAGTTCACACAACTTACTGTACACAAAATAACATTTTAGATTGAAGTTGTGTTTCACACCTGCCCATCACCTTCATCTCTTACCTGAAACACTCCTACCTCCTAACTCTGACTCTGTGTCGAGCTCCTACATCCACAGACATGAAGATGGATTAAATATCAGTTTTTTTACTGATAAAATAACAGCAGAAGTATTACTATAAGATTTATAAGATTTACTATATAGAAGTGTACTGAAGCTAGTAGACGTTACAGAAACAACTGCTGAGATTATGCATGTAAATTATAACAGGTAATCAATAAATATGGGAGTGGACTTGGACTCAATCTTGGCATTAAATAAAGTTTAACTGATTAAAAAAACTCAGTAACAGATCACTAAAATGCAAGTGTTTGTTAACGTTAGCTGATAGGTGATAGCAAAAACACAGCAGCTCTTCTGACTGTGGGCATCAGGGAAGCAGGAGGGAGCCGAGGCACATCGACGGCACCAAATTGTTTATTTAAAATTTCAAGTGTGACCTGAGCTTTTAGCCAGCTGAGCAGACCAGGCAGCAGGCAGGCAGACCACCGGGAAATCTCCCGGTTCTCCCAATGGTCCGTCTGGGTCTGGTGCTCTGAAACCCTGGAAACTACTTTGAGACGCATGTGGCAGCTCTGTCTGTATTTTGAAGGAAACTTTGTCATGCAAACTTTTTGAGCCACTCCAAAATCCAAGTGGCAAAACTATGAGCCTGTGCAACTCGCCAAAAAAAATATTTAAAAGACCTCCTCATGAATGTTGCTCACTCACAGTTGCAACCCAGTCAAATACCCTTCAGTTTAAACTTGTATCTCACTGTGCTGCGGCTGATGGAGATTAATTTGTGACTTGAAATAGTTTGAAAATAAACAAGTTGCAGTCTCACTATGTTCTAAGTGATTGATTGTAAGCGACCACTGAGCCTCGCAGCTAATTGTCAAAATCAGTAGTTTCAAAAGAGTATTCTGGACCATGCACATTATGTTGCTGCCAACCTACTCTCTTTAGCTCACCTTGTCCTGTCAAAGGGGAGCTCCTATATTGGTGCCAAAATACAACTCTGATCCTGTTGAGAATAGTTGAAGTGTGATACCTCTCTGACTATACTGAGAGAAATGTTTCACACGAGTTTTTAGGCTATGTTCAAAATTCAGGCCACAAAGCTCTACAACTCAAGCTAGGAACGGGTTACTCTTGCAATCAGAAATGTTCACCAACGAGTCGCCAACAGTCTCAGCCCAGTGAGAGATCACCAACCGTCAGCTTTTCTGACATGTGAGATCATCTTACAGTGTACCCATGGAGGCTGTCTAATGGAGCTGTGTATCCAACTGAGCATCACTATGTTGGGAAAGCAACTTATACAAAACAACCTTTTTGAGATTGGAGTGCCGTAAGTAGAGAATAATTTAAATTTATCATGACTTGATGTTTTTCACTATGTTGTCCATAAAAACCAATCATCACAATTCTGCATTCAAGACAATAGTTACATTTTTAAAATAAATTTGTATATAAACAAAACATAATGAAACCAAGCTGCATTACACTTTTTGTCCATCTCAAGAGCATATCTCTGTGTGTGTGTGTGTGTGTGTGTGTGTGTGTGTGTGTGTGTGTGTGTGTGNGTGTGTGTGTGTGTGTGTGTGTGTGTGTGTGTGTTCCTCAGCAAACTGAAGAAACTTATTCGATTCATTCGTTCCAAACAAGCAGCTTTTCATGGAGAAGAGAGGAAACAGAAGTTGCAGCGATACGAAACTGATCATTTCTTGGAACCATTTGCTGGGTTAACCCCTGAATACATGGAAATGAGTCAGTATCACACATTATAGCTTTGTAAACACACATCTGTGGCAAGTATGAATTGTGAAAAAACTGCATGTTTAATGTCAAGACTTCAGAGTTTTGTTGTCCTTTTGTTTGGCTCATCGTTGGTTTTTGATGGATGTGTTTCTGTCAGTTTCTAACAATTGTGTGTTTCTTACTGTTTTGGAAATTCAACCAATTCACAGCATCATTAAGCCTCCCTCTAGTTTTTATTTACAGGGTAAATTTGGATTGTTTAATGTTGAATGCAGCAGATTGAACAATCAGAAAGAAGTTCTTATAAATGAGCAAAGCTACAGTAGTCATCTCACCTCTATTTCTGCAGAATATTCTAGTTTTACTTATAGGTGGGAAATTTGGCACTGATGTGTACAAAAAAGTATTTTGAAGGTATGATCTAAACACAATAGGATGTCAGCCACTTTGGATCAAAGATGCCATTCTGGAGTTTTACACAACATATCTGAACACACTCTGTAGAGCATTTGGTCAGCTTTAATTTTCTACACCTCAAACTTTGACTTTATGCCATAATACAGACATTTAAGCCAATATTGTTTTATCTCCTATACAAAATTTCAGATCTGTATCAAAGTGCTAATATAACCATCTGTTCCTCAACACATCCACATGTCAATACTCCACTATCGTTTTAGCCCCACCCACTGAGAACAGGAAGTTGTGTTTTATGCATGAAATGATTCTGATCTGCTTTTTCATATCCACTTAAAATTTTGTCGGGTACCAAAAAACAAGGTGATGCTTATTAGTGGCTTAGTTGGTAGAGCTGTAGCCTCCCAGCAATTAGGTTGCCAGATCGATTCCCAGCCGGGGACCTTTCTGGGTAGCGTTTGCACATTCTTTCTGTGCATGTGTGTGGGTTTTCTCCATGCACTTGAGTTTCCTTCCACAGACCAAAAACATGAATGTTAGGCTAAATGGTAACTCTAAATCGTCCCTAGGTGAGAGTGAGAGAGTGAATGGTTGGTTGTCTCATTAGCCTCTATTGGCCCTTTTCCACTGGCGCCTCTACAGCAGTGATTCCCAACCAGGGGTACGTGTACCCCTTGGGGTACTTGAGCATATTACAGTGGGTACATGGAAAAATTTCCCAGGTGTGTAAATAAATAAATAAAAATAGGACTGGGATATGTAGGGCCCTATGATTTCAGCAATGCGGAAATTGCAGACAGAATCACAGAATTAACACAAAATGGAATCCAGTATAAAATGTGGAATCTCGTTGAATTTGCTCATTTGGGTGAGTTTCTGACGTATTCTGGACAATACAGTGTATTTTGGAGGCTTCTGCTTCCTGCACCTGCAATTACCTGGTTTATACAGTATATTTAATTACCTATTAACTTTCAAGATGTTTTTATCTTTATGTTTAATTTGAGTTGAAGAAATAAAATGCCTGAGAATTAAACATTCTGGGGGTTAAATAAATAAATTTCTTTTAATAATCAGTTGTAGTACATTATAGTTTTGTAGAATCATCATTATGTTTGATTGAAGGGGTACTAGTGGTATGACAAATAGGCTCAGGGTGTACACAAGTCTAAAAAGGTTGGGAACCACTGGTCTAAAGTCCTGAAACTTTCCAGCACTTTCAGGACCTTGGACAGTTTCTTCAGCCTTTGACACTGTCTGAAGCAGTGATTCCCAACCAGGGGTATGCGAGCATATTACAGGCGGTACGTGGAAAATTTTCCCAGGTGTGTAAAAATATTTAATGAAAATCGGACTGGCATTTGTAGGGCCCTGTGATTTCTGCAATGTGGAAATTGCAGTCGGAATCACAGAATTAACACAAAATGGAATAAAGTATAAAATGTGGAATCTCATGGAATTTACTCATTTGGGTGAGTTTCTGATGTATTTTGGACACTGCTGTTTTCTGCTCCTGCCATTACATGGTTTAATTATTTGATAAACCAGTTATTCACTTTCAAGTCAACATTATTATCTTTATGTTTAGTTTGTTGAAACGTTGAACAAAATAAAATACCTGAGAATTAAACATTCTAGGGGGTTAAAATACTTTTTATTTAATAATCAGTTGTAGTACATTATAGTTTTGGAGAATCATCATTATGTTTGGCTGAAGGGGTACTAGAGATATGACATATTGGCTCAGGGGGTACACAAGTCTAAAAAGGTTGGGAATCACTGCTCTACAGCAGGGTTCGACTTGGCTCTCCATGGTTCCAAGGCTTTTCCACAAGCCTGAAAACATGAAGACTGTCGGTCACTGACTGGTTAGGTGGTGGAGTCACTGGATGCATCACAACAGCTCTCACAACAACCGCCATTTTCAATAACAATGCTACCATGTCCTCTGTTGTTGTGCTTTTCAGGGTCTTCTACTTCTACAGTGTAATACAAATAGCTTACTGGAGCATAACTATAATCTAATAAGGCATGTGGCATCAGTTTTCGGACTCTGGGACCGTGAAACTTTACGAACAACCCATCCACTAGAGCTGTCACTGAAGTGTAATGGAAAACTACCTGAACTGTGCTGAACAGAGTTTAGCCAAGTTAAACCATGATGAAGAGGCAATAAAGGGCCATATGTGACCCTGTAAAGGGCTTGCGACCTGTCCAGGTTGTACCCCGCTCCTCGAACAATGACTGCTTATATGGACACCCTTAACCCTGAAAGGAGAAAATGGATGGATGTTTGTTGGTATTGTTTTAGCTATAGATGTTGGCCATTTTGTATTATAGTTCCTGTTTGAAGACACATAGCCCATTTCAGCCCTTGTGTTCAACAAACACCTCCTAAAAAGTCAGATGGTGTTTTTGTGTATGGGCTTGGCTGCAGTTATCACTTGGAGCAGGTTACATGCCAGAGCATCACTAAGGCGTGATGACCAATCGTTGCTTCTTGCAGCTTACTGAGTCTACTCAGACCATAGAAATGTGCTTAAGCTATACATGACTTTCTAACTCATGGTGGGTGAAACTCACTTTGCACCTGAACCTGTTTACAGTTATAAATCTCTTATAAACATATTGTACCTGATGCATCAAAGGTGCCCCCATGGATAACCAGCAAGATATCCAAGTTCATTCTCTTAAATGAAATGTATTTATTTATTTCTCCTTTTTTTCTAGTCATCCAGTTTGGTTTTGTAACATTGTTCGTAGCATCGTTCCCACTGGCTCCCCTCTTTGCTCTGCTCAACAACATTATTGAAATACGGCTTGATGCTAAGAAATTTGTGACAGAACTGCGAAGACCAGTGGCAGCAAGAGCCAAGGACATAGGTGGGTTATTTTAAAAGCATTATACCTAGAATAAAATGTAATATTTGAGTTAGTGTTAGACTGAAATCTGCCGTAAGTAAAGTTTGCTATAATTGATCTTTGTTTTTACATTACAGGTATCTGGTATGACATACTTAGAGCTGTGGCAAAAGTGGCTATCATCATCAATGTAAGTAAAATTACAAAAATAATTCACACGTACTGTTTTTACTCAAACCAGAACAAGTCATCTCTGTCTGGCTACCCATCTTCCTCAGTCTCAACATATCCCAGCATCCTCTGTGCTCTTCACTGCATCCATGAACCTCCTCTGATTTCTCTGCGTTTTCTTCTCTCTGGCAGCTGTGTACATCCATGATCCTTTCTCTGCTCCTGTTCAGTCCATCTCAGCTTTGTTTCTTTAACTTTGTCCTCAAACCTGAGTTGTCCTTTTGATGGACTCATTTCTTATTCTGTACATTGTCCTTGGGTGTCCTGAAAGGCACTTTATAAATAAAATGTACTGTTACATTTTGGTCCCACTCAATGAAAAGTTGAACATCTCCATGTCCTTTGCATGTATTTTCTGTTGAAGTTACCTTCTCCAAACCAAACTTCATATCACTATCATCTTGTAAACCTTCCATTGCACTGTTACAACCTTCCTTCATCTCCACCCTGCCTGCACTTTCTTCTTCACTCTGTGTTCTGCCCATCACGCTTTGGATGGTTGACTTTGGGTATTTACTCATCCAGTTCCACCTGTCTCCTTCTCATTTACTGACATTTTGTTATGCTTCTACTGACTTTTATTCCTCTTCTCTTCCACCTACTTGCTGCTCTTCACTACAGATCTCATCACCTGCAAACATTACAGTCCATGGGGAGTCCTGACTGACTTCATCTGTCAACCTGCCTATCACCACAGCAAACAAGGATGATCTCAGAACTGATCACTGATGGAGTCCTACCTCCATCCCGTTACTACTGCACATCCCACCGCCAACATGCACACGTCATCACTCTCCACCACACCTGACTTCCTCAGGTCCTGTCTTTCAAACCCTGTCATTTGCTTTCTATAGATCCACAAAAACTTCTTCTGATCTTCTCTTCAAACCACATTATCCAAAAAAACCGATGAATATATACAATTCTTTCTTAGCATTTACAAATTGTACTTGTTCAAAACACGATTGCACAACAATCAGCATTCAGTTAAACTGCAAATAAAAATGTACATATTTTCTCACAATTTCCATACCCTTTTTCAGTCACCAGCTATAGTCTCTAACACTTGCAGCTTAGTGAGGTATGAGCTTACCAGTACACTTTTTTTCTATTCCTCAGTTATCCTTTGTTTGTTTAAGATAGTTAGAATTTGATTCAAAAGTTCACTTTGTAGGAATTACTCTATGAAGATTAGAACCAGCCTAAAGTTCATAAAATAATCCAGCCAGATCTTGCAGAAGGAAATCAGAAACAATGAAATACCCCTCTGGTCATGAATGTGAAAAGAACTTGTGACCTGAACAGATTTCTCAAAAATAAAGTAATTTATTTTAGATATATGAACAGAATAAACATACAAATATTAATAAAAATATTATATGAATAAGTAAACACAAGTTATAATAACGGCATAAAATTCCACTCAGAGTTGACAAAAACAGTAAATTTCAGATGTTGCAATTCACTGGCAAGCTACTTGACTAAGTTTCTTAAGTAAATAAGAGAGAATAAAAGATAATAAAAGGTTTAAGCTTTAAGAAAAAGGAGGAAGGAAAGAAATTAGTAATTTTGCACTGTTCTTTAAGTGCATAACCAGACCAGCACTCAGCGTGTCAATCTCTCAGACATTTCCGTGGCTAGACTCCCGCTTTTATCTCAGCAAGCACCTCCTTTTACCTTTTGATGTCTTGTCAAAGACAGGCAGGTGGACGGTTTTGAGATGGTCAGGACTGAGTCCGCCAGGTGGATAATGTCGCCTCGTGACACCCGGGGTTGAGGATGAGACAGTCCTGTCTCATCCCAGCGAGCCTCCAGGCTTCTCTCACCCCTAGCGAGCCTCCAGGCTCCTCTCACCCCTAGCGAGCCTCCAGGCTCCAGGCGCGGTCTATCAGAACAGTCCAGTGCTTCTCAGCAGCAAAACTAGGTTAGTAACTTCCATCCAGGTTTGAACAGGCAGGTGCCTGTATGGCACGCAGTCATGGAGCCCCAGACAGAACCATGCACTCCAACAGACGAAGAACTACTGTTAGCTGGTGAGAACAGAAAGCTAGTTCGAGGGGAAGGTGAGATGTGAGAAAATAAACAAGGTGGCTTTCTCAGACTTGCTCTTCGGCCAGCTGTTCACTTATCAGCAAAAAAACCTTGAAACTGCAAAGGCAGCTTTCTTTCTGTCTCAAAAATCACACCACTGCACAAATGGATTAATAATGAAATGAATAGTACATAATATTAATCATTAAATCAACTAAGAAAATGATAAAACCATTATTAATACCAGTACTAAGAAAAAACATTAAAGCACATTTCAACTCTTTTTCTTCACAGTGTTATACTTCTGGATAAAAGAGAGATGCAAAGGTTAATTCAATAAAACTTTGATTATATTGATTATAACCTCTTTTAAAAGATTAAATGAGATAATATATATATAGGACTTATATTCACTTAAAGAAAATAAAAACACTTTAAAATGATTTTCTTCTTATAAGTGTAAAAAATAAAATCAAAGACAAAGAAAAAAAAACAATAGAAAAGTTTTTTTCACCAGGGTTACCTCTACAACTTTCATCTCTACAAACATCTTCATACCTCCACAGGTAGACCATTTACCTTCGTAGTCTTCATCATATACACTTCTTTCCCATCTCCTCAACATGAGTGACTTGTCCTTACATCTCTATCCTTATCCACTCTAACCTGTGGCACATCATTTCCAGGTGCATCTCTTTTCCTTGCCAATCATATAAAATCAATCAAGCTCCCTTTCTCCTTCCCTAATATCCAGCTTCACATACAACTCACTGTAAAACTTTTCCTCAGCTGCCTCTCTCTGTGGAAAACACCTACCTTTCTATCATATCTCTGACAATCTTGCAGTTTATTTTGCTAACCTCTTCTTTTTAATGCTTTCCTGTATGTCTCATTGCATCACCATGTTTTTTGTTTATATTTGTTTTCTATTTTACGTTTTATGCAAATAATGTTTGCTGGTGTTTCTTTATAATTTTCAACACATTCAGACATCTGAACTGTGTTGTCATTTTGCCAATAACATGGTGTTTTACTTGCATTTTTGTGGAGTTATTTTGTGCACAGCTCTTGGGAGAATGAAACTGATGAGACATAAGTGGTGCTTTTTGGCCAGTCGTGTTGTGCTACAGTGCCTTTTGAATACTGTGGAAGGGTACCAACAAATGTATCTGTGTCTGTGTATTTTCAAACAATTTTGGTACAGAAGCACAGGGATTCAAACCCTAGTGTAGGCATCGATTATGTATCAAACAAGATACATAAAAATGATGCTGGCCACGATGTTGCCTGGATTAACAAGGTCTGCATGAGATGTTGGCCTCTGATTTCCTACTGACACCATCACACAGACCAATATCACTCCTGCAGTGATCCTTGAAATGCTTGGCTATGAAGTCACATATTGGAGTGCTTAAAACTGTACATCAACAGGGCACTAAGATGTTTCATCCAAAAGTCATTGGGAATGTGAAAAATGGCTCTACGGGCCAAGCCACTTGCATAACTCAAAGTCAAGTGCAAAAACCAAGGTGATGCTCTGTTCCCACTCCTATTCTGCATGAGGCTGGCCATCTTCAGCAGCTCATTGCAAAGAATAGCACTAGATGCCAGTTCTGAAGACATGAATCATCTCCTGTACATGGATGACATCAAGCTGCATAAGGGTGCACTGATGGCAATTTTCTGACCAAGCACAGATCTTTAAAACGTCTGACCTGCCGATTCAAATTTTGCTCTATACCAAAAATTTTTATAACTGATTCAGAAGTGTTATAAGGTCACAATACCCCTTCAAACGTTCCAATCTTATTTTACTGAAAAACATTGAACAATACCATTGAAACAAACTTGTTTTAACTGGCCATCTCTCACAGCAGAGGAAAATGGGACAGCGGCTGATTTTCCGACCTTTGCAGACAGATAAGATAGGATAAGATCAGCTTCTCTTGTAAGTGCTGGCCAATCATGAACATCCAACATTAAGGAAATAGAGACAGATAAATTGGGTGATTGGCCAAGTTATCAATGCACCCCTAAAGCTGTATATATCAAAAATACAGGATACAGTAAGGATAATGGAATGCCATGCAGATGGTATAACATGATCAAAAGGTATCCTAGTGAAGCAAGGTGATCACAGCTAAAGAGGCTGAACTTCCTGAAGGCAACATTACAGATATCAAGATGGCTACAAATACTTCAGAATACTTTGGAAGAGCACTGACTGGTAAGAACAAAGTCAGAAGTATCAACAGGCATGCAGTGCTGGTCATCAGATACCAGGTAATAACTGGCCAAAGAGACAGAAGCCACTGACATCAAAACAAGAAAACTCCTCACAATGCACAGAGGATTTCACTCCAAATCTAGCATTTTGAGACTGTACACAAAAAGAAAAGGAAAAACCAGGGGACTAATGAGCATCAGAGCCACTACACAGGATGAATTGATTAAAATCCTGGAGAACATGAAGAGGAAACATCCAGATGATGAACTGCTTAGTGAGTGGCTCAGGCAACAAAAACCCATCTCTCAGTTTGACTGCAGAACCTCCAGTCCGTACTCAGCACAGATGTACCTGTACTTTATTCCAGCCACTTGGTTATGGCATACCCTGTTTGCTTTGCCTGCCTAGATGTTGCACCCTACTATTATGTGTTGGACTGTCTTGGGTGCATTGTTTGACAGTCTGCATCTTGGGTCCTGTCTGGTATGGTAGTCCCCAGCTTCTATTGCTCTTGTGCTGCCATGATTAGTGCCTCTGTGCTGTTCTTCAGTCCAGCCCTCTCTATCTACTAGTAAGATTTGTTAATATCATCCCCTTCTTCAGTCTGCCAGTGGCACATGGGTTTTATCTTTCCATGATAGCGCCTCCTGTTCCTCCTTATCCACACTGGGTTTCTGCTGGCTGAGACATTCATTTAGATCGTTGTTGTTTCATCTTGTATGGTGGCGCTCCCTATCCTCTCTTTCTTATATACTGTATATTTTCTCTCTTCTGTTGTGACAGTTTGATTTAAAAAGTCATTAATAACTTTACTCAAATGGAGTTTAGAGTGTTGATAATTGTTTTTACAAACAAACTTTAACAAACATCCCCGTCCTTATTTTATAATATCTGAATCGTTGTTCTTTCTTCTAGGCCTTTGTAATATCCTTCACTTCAGACTTCATCCCACGAATGGTCTACCAGTATATGTACAGTCCTGATGGCTCCTTGCATGGCTTTGTGAACCATACTTTGTCCTACTTTAATGTCAGTCACTTTGAGCAAGGCAAAGAAACCATGGATCCTCTGCATCTTGGCTATTCTGTTGATGTTTGCAGGTAAAAAAATAATTATATTAAAAAGCTTCTTACTTTTAGGGGGAAATAAAAAAATACAACACTGCAAAAAAAGTCCACCCAGCCAAGTTTTAAAATCGTATATCCAGCCAAAAAGTCTTTTTGATCTTGTTTTGAGACTGATTTACTAAACAAGAACTGATTGTGTAAGAATAATAATCTTGTTTTCAGAAGATTATTTGTCTTGTTAATCTGAAAATTTGACTCAAATTAAGTCAAAAATTTCTGACAATGGAGTAAGAAAATTTTACTTAGTAAGATTCTTGAAATATTTGATTTGACTCAATTTTTTCTTATTTCTAGAATCTTACCAAGTAAAATTTTTTTACTCCATTGGCAGAAATTTTTGACTTAATTTGAGTCAAATTTTCAGGCTAACAAGACAAATAATCTTACACATTCTGAAAACAAGATGATTATTCTTACACAATCAGTTCTTGTTTAGTAAATCAGTCTCAAAACAAGATTAAAAAGACTTTTTGGCTGATATAAGATATTAAAACTTGGTATGATGGACAGTTTTTGCAGTGAATAATCTGCTGGAATAAGTGCAAAACCTACTTACTGCCAAAATATGTGTCAAAATATAGGATTGTTTGTATTTGAATGTTTTATATGTGTATAATCTGATATAAATAACCACAAAGTAAACATCATTGACTACTAAAATGCATGGCTTCATATAACTTCAGAAAGATGTTTTGTTGCCAGTATTTGTGAGTCATTTGTTTGCATTCGAACTTTGATGAATTCATCCATTTTGGCCAACAACAGATGTTAGGTCAGTAAAGTGATCCCCGAATGTAAACAGAGTCAGAGGGAGAACAGAGGGCTCATAGACACCAGATCCATAGAGAAAATGTAAAGTCAAGCCTGATTTATACTCAATGAGAAACCTGATTCTTATGTTTCGCTGACGTGCATGTGTGACAAAAATTGCGTAGTTTCTACTCTTACCACCGGCTGACACCTCGTCTTGTGCATCGCCTCAAATCAGAACTATTCTCACCAGGGTATGAGGTGAGGTGATGTGATTGGTCAGAGCTGTGTGGGCGTGGTTAATTATGTAAAGTGGCTGCAGTGAGCTGATCTCAAAGCTTTAGTGCCTGCTGAGAAGCTGCTGTAGAAAAAGACAAAATCAGACAATATTACAAATATTTCAGTAAAAATGATACAGAAAGTAAAATAAACTTTTAAAATATGTAAAAGAACTTGTGGAAGGAGAAAGGATAACAGCAAGGAGAACTGTCGACTCCACTCGGTGGTGCTACTGTTTACAAGAATGGAATAATTGTACAAAAAATATAATGCTGTAGAAATTGTGTTAAAAGCAAAACATTCAAATAAAAAACAATGGAAAAACAGTGTATTTTGACAGCTATTGTAGCTTTAAGCTAAGATTGTGCTGTTACTGTTAGAAGAGGGAGGAATGGACCAAGGAACCAGGCACCAGGGCAACCAAATTCCAGAGATCCAGATCCAAAAACAAGTCACTAAAAAACTGTCAAGACGACGTCTCTTTTTAACGATTTAGGCTCAAGTTCCAACATAGTTAACATTCACAAGAATATATCTGGTTCATCTTGCATTTTTTGTCTTGTTTCTCAGCTACGGTATATCTGGTTCATACGAGCGAGTATTAGAGCCACACAATGAGATTTTTTACTATTTATTATGAGAATAATGTGACAATATTACAACAATAAATTGTAACATTATAAGACTGAAGTTGTATATTACAAAATTAAAGTCTTAATATTAAAACGTAAAATCATAGCTGTTATTACAAGAACCTGCATGAAACATTGCATTAAAATGTGGGATGTTGAGCAACTTGTAAAGTTGTTCTTAAAATAAATATTTAATCGTTTAGCATATTAGCATCAAATTGTCAGGACTTTGGCACAATTGTGGAAACGACTATATGATCAACTGAAGCCGTATTGTAGCCTAATTAATGGCTGCACTGGGAAAACATCAGGAACAGAAAATGGGCATGTCATGTAATATTATGACTTTTCTTGTAATATTTCAACTTTAATCTCGTAAAATTATGAATTTGTTCTTGTAATTTAAAAAAATCTCATTGTGTGACCCTAATACTCAGTCATAGGTTCAGAACAAGGACACCAACAAAGACAAAGTCAATATTACATTACATTAAAGCAATAAAGGAGACTAAATTAACATGTAAGATAAGTTTTGTTTGAAGTTTTATTGTAAAAACCAAAATAAGTTACTTAAAACAGTCTCTTGAAAGATAAAAATAAAAAAGACATTTGGGATTGGAATTAATTTCTTTAAAAACTTGAACCCTGACTTGTCTTTTTGGCCTCACTTTCTTAAATATCAGCTAAAATGTTTATTTTTATTTTAATTTAACTAGTTTGTTTCATTTATCTGTATTTTTAATGAAGAATAAATTTGTGAAACAAACACCCCACCATGGTTTTATTGCATCATTCCTAAAATATATTGGTTTGAAAGAGGAACACCGAAAACAGCATTGTGGAGAAAATCATTCACATTTTATTTGTGTACTAAAATATTGTAGTAAAAGATTTAGTTTGTTTTGGTCTTAAAGGTATAAGGACTACAGAGAACCTCCCTGGTCTTCCACACCGTATGACATCTCCAAGGAATTCTGGGCAGTGCTAGCTGTGAGACTCGCCTTTGTTATTGTTTTTCAGGTAAAGTATAAAAATGCTTTGTTATTACTTACCGCTGCCTGCGCTATTACAACCTAAATAATCATTGCAGGTGTATATGCAACTGACTTTTTGGAATGAGTTTGATTCAAGTTGGACACAACAGATACAGTATTTGACAATACACCAACACAAAAATGCTTCCAACTCAGTCAGTTTTACTGACATTGCACTAAAATTTGGCATGGTTGTAGCTAAGAGTAATTCCTTACACATGCTACAAGAGCTAACAGATCGCAACAACGTTTCTGATGATCTTAGCCTAAACCTCTGGTCTGAAAGGCAACGGGTGATAAGCATTTCATCAAGGAACAAATAGAAATAAAACTGACTTTGACAAAAAGGATTGGTCCAATATTTGGTTCTGTTTATTTGCACCTGTCATTTTTAGTTCTTCAATTTTTAACACTAGTGATAATTTCAAGAGGATTTAAATTTGGAAAACTGAGTAACTCATTACTTCTACTTGTTTATTTTTACCAGAACGTTGTGATGCTGATGAACGATATTGTCGACTGGTTAATCCCAGACATCCCCAAAGACATCAGCCAGCAGATTCACAAAGAGAAGATTCTCATGGTTGACCTCTTCATGAAAGAAGACCAACGAAAAGAAGACCAACGTATGATCAATCTGCGCGAGGCGGGGGGCTCGTCGGGCATCGAGATGTTCAGGAGGAGCACACATGCTCATCCGTTCACCACAGACACCAACAGCACCAAGACATTCTGACATCAGGAGCAAAAGTTAGTTCAGCTCGATATCAGCTAACTGGTTTTTGTTGTGCCAAGAACATTCCAACAGCTGGAGAGCAGCTGGCTTACTGAGTGTGACAGAGGCAAAGGTGTGCTCAGATGTCTTCATTTGTGTGGATAGTTATGAAAAACGTCAGTCCATTCATGCTTACAGTACTAAGCACTAATTTATATGTCAACTTTTACTCAACTTTGCATGCATTTAAACCTGTTAGTTCTTATCACCTAAATATTGTAGACAAATTCTAAATGTTTATGCCTTCCTACAAAGTGCTGCTCAGCTCTAGTTTACCTTCACTGTTCTGTAGAACAAGGATTTCTTTTCAATCAGTGAACAGAAAGAGAAGTTGTGAACAACAATGTCGATTTTCTGCACTGTTTTAGGCTGTCCCAATTCATGGGCTGCATCCCCATAAGTGCGCATTTGTTGTCTGCCTACGTCATTGCCCTGCAAGTGCTGTCCCAATTCGAAGGCAGAGGAATGTGGCCCACAAAATCTCAAAAATCAAGGATGAATCTGAGAAAGTGGAAGTCTGAATAATAGCAGGAACCCACTTATCTTGGGCCGTATCTGAAAACCCAAACCAAACAGCCCAGCAAGTTGAATCTAAGCAAAGACTCTCTGTACAAACTCAAAACTTCTAAAAACACTTCTTCCACTCAATTAATGATGAACTGACCTCATAATGTGTTTCTCTTCCTGGTTACACCCCTGGAGGTGTTGCCTTTTATGTAAGATATTAAAGTAACCAACTTTGTTTATACTACAGCCAGAACACATTGATAATTGTCACATGGCAATATACTATTTTGTGGATTGATGTATGTGCTGCTGCTACTACACCGGAATTTCCCCGCACTGTTATGATTTTTGTCTGTGTTAAGTGTTTTTATTTTTAGTTTCTGTCATGTTCATGTTTCCTTCCTCCTGTCTTGCCCTTGCTCCAGCCCCACCCACTCACACCTGATCCTCATGTTTCTCCCTCAGGTGTTTTCTGTTAGTAATTGTTGTCTATGTATTTAAGCTCTGTCTTGTCTCTGTGTCATGGTCGGTTCATTGTTTGTTTGTTCATGTTGGATTCTTGTTATGCCCTGGCTTTCTTGCTCCTGTTTTTTTGTCAGTTTTCTGTTTTTACCACATAGCTGGCCATTTATTTAATAAATTTTTGTTAAACTTTCTTGCCTGCCTGCAATTGGGTTCACCCTGCCTCCTAGCCGTTACAGAATGAACCGACCAAAGTTTGAACCCAGCAGGCAGTTTTTCCCCTCCCCACCCACGGCTGGTACCCTGCCAGTTTCTCCCCTCTCTCATATCCTGGGGCTCCTGGAGGGGATGAAGGGAGAGCTGGCTGGACTAAGGGTACTGATCGCTTCAGGGTACCATTCAGAGCAGGTGGCACCAGGGGTTTTTGAAGCCCACCCTTCCCACCCCTCTGATGTGGATCCTCCTGCCCCTGCTCTGGTTCCTGGTGGTCCTCCTGCTCTGGTTCCTGGTGGTCCTCCTGCTCTGGTTCCTGGTGGTCCTC